AATAGCTAGAGTATATCATTCAGCTAGTATTTGTACAAATGGTAGTGCAAATGGAATGGTTGTAGCATATGGTGGTCGTTCAAATGATTAATAAGCATTAAATGATGCATGGGGATTAAGAAGACATAGAGATGGAAGATGGGATTGGGTAAGAGCCCCATATAAACTTGATAAAGAATAACCAATTGGTAGATATTAACATTCTACTTTGTTTGTCTATAGCATGCTTATTGTTATAGGAGGTAGAACAGGGAATGTAGGTGAAATGCTCACAATTGATGTTTATGACACTGAAACTTCTGAATGGTCTAAATTTAATAGTATTTAGAGATTCAGACATTCTTCTTGGTTGGTTGATACCAATATATATGTTTATGGTGGATTCGAATTAGATTCACCAAATATACCAACTGATATCATTTCTAAAATTAATTTGAATAAATTACTATTACCAAGTGAACCTTTAACTAATAAGTTAGCTTAATATTAATAAGCTTAAAGAAAGTATATTCTCTAAATTTATTTAGTGTATCCCCTCAATCACTTTCACCTTAGATGAGTCCTGCTTCAACAGATACATCCAATTCTTCATTAAATAATTCATTGATGCAAAAAAAAGGAACACCTAATAGTTAAATAAATACTTAAAAATAATAAAAACCATTTTTATAAAATCAAGTTGAAAAACCCTCTTTTAAGTTCATTAATTAAGCTATTGTTGCTGAAGAAAGTAGAGACTCAAAAGTCTAGAATAAAAAATCTAGGCTTCCATAATCTGCTTAAGATAACAATATAGCTCATTTGTTTATTAATACATTATTATAACCAAAGACTTTTATTAACCTTCAAGAAAATGCTAAATTTTTATTTTAAGCATAACATATCAATATGCTTTGTGATTAAGCTGAGGCAGTTATCAAAGAATAACCTATGGTATTAAGATGCAAAGCTCCAATAAAGATTTTTGGGGATATTCATGGATAATATTCAGATTTAATGAGATTCTTTGATTTATGGGGATCGCCTTTTGTTGATGGTAAGGATAGTGATATTGAAGCATTTGATTATCTCTTTTTAGGAGATTATGTTGATAGAGGTAACCACTCTCTTGAAACCATCTGTTTACTTTTAGCATTAAAAGTCAGATATCCAGAATCTATTCATTTAATTAGAGGAAATCATGAAGATAAATGGATTAATAATGGATTTGGATTTTCAGAAGAATGTGCATAAAGATTAGGTGAGGATCCAAATGATGATGATTCTGTTTTTGCAAGAGTTAATAGATTATTTGAATGGTTACCATTAGCTGCTATTGTTGAAGATAAAATAATCTGTTTACATGGTGGTATAGGTAGTTAATTAAATTATGTTGCTGAAATTGAAAATCTATAAAGACCTCTTGAAGTAATACATGAAGTTACAACTCCAGAATAATAATTAGTTGTAGATATTTTATGGTCTGATCCTACTGATTCTGATTAAGATTTTGGAATCTAACCAAATATTATAAGAGATCCTGCAGGAACTGGAAATATTGTAAAATTTGGTCCTGATAGAGTTATTAATTTTTTAATAAAAAATAGTCTTTCTCTTATAATTCGAGCTCATGAATGTGTTATGGATGGATTTGAAAGATTTGCAGGTATTATTATTCTCTTATATATTTAGGTGGTCAATTATTGACTGTATTTAGTGCTACTGATTATTGTGGTAGACATAAAAATGCAGGAGCAGTACTTATTTTAAAAAGAAATTTAGAGATTGTTCCTAAATTAATATATCCATAAAATCTAAATGCTCATAATTGGATTGAAGATGAAGAAACACTTAAAAAAAGGCCACCAACACCACCTCGTTGGAAAAACTAGGGTCAACGTAAAAGTTACGAATGATCTAAATTAAATTAGTTATTAAATTATTTTCAATTTCTAATTAAATTTTTAATAAAAATAATTATTAAATATATATATATAGTAATAAAAATTCATTTTTTGAATGAAGGTGAACAATATTTTTCACTTAGATCAAATGAAGAATCTCTTCTCAATAATTATGTATAGAAATTATTAGTTTTTAGTTAATTTTCATTAACTTTATTCAAAATCTCCAAGAATTTACTTGGCTAACTATTTGATCTTTATTTATCAGGAGTTTAATTTGTTGGTGTTGTAACTTGAGTTGATTAAGGTGACATTAACCTTGATACAGATTATCCCTATTATTATTCTGTTTTCAAAAGAGATGTTTAAACTATTTTTATCTCTAATTCACTATCCTCAAATAAACCTCCAAGTATTTTTTAATCTGTTGCCTTTTTATATACTCTTCCCAAATAAACATTCTAAGTCTCCATTTTACCAAGACTTTATTATATATCTTACACTCTTTTATTATATTGACCCATTATCTATTTATATGGTAGTAATTCAATTTATAGAATTATATTATCAAGATTAACTTCAATATCACTATACATTTATAGTAATTCATTGTGACTCTCCTTAATTTCTTATTACTTTTATTCAAACATAGTTAAAGCTTTGCTTTACATTTCATTTAAATAATCAATTTATTCTTTTAGTTTGTGATCTAAAATTGTTGTCATTATATGATAATGTTCTCGTACTTTATCTTTTTATTTTTCACAAAATCGAACCAAATCCTCCTTTTTCTCAAGAAGACTTTATTCACTTTGATCTATTGTTAAAAATGTTTATGAAATTGTTTCAAGAAACTGTTGTATTTATTCTTATCTAACTTATGTTTAATCAGACTCAATATCATCAACCTATTTCTAAAATGAAGTTTACCTTATATCCTTAACTAACTAAAGCAATTGCACATTTGGAACAAACTAAATCAGTCAAGTTAAACTTTGGTTTTGCAAACGGAACACCAACAATTTTATATTTTGCCTAATTTTTAAGCTTTTCTTACCTTTTTATTTTGATGAGCTTTGCAAATTGGATCAGCCAAATTAAATACTTCATTTTCTTTATTCATCTGTTAACGATTAAAATTAATTGAAAACACTAATAAATATTATTCAGTAGAATAATATTTATTTATTCCCGCTATTATTATCATACAGTTATTCTGTAGTTATTAATAGAAGATTAAATTTGATCTAACAATAATCTAGAGTTTTTTTTTAATACAAAAATTTGATATATCTATATACAAATATTACACATCACAAACTCTAAAAAATTCATTATATTTAATTTATAAAAAGCAGGATCTCTTATATAAACTAGAATTTTATAGATATCCTTAACATTTACTGAATACTATAAACATAATTGCTAAATGACTTCTGTTGTAAATTCATTTTATGAATTATTTAAATATTTAAATAGGTTCTCATATAATGGTTCATAATATTCTTTTGTAAATGCTAATTATTATTATAATAATTTATTACTTTCAGCAATATCTATCTATATTTAAGATTTAAATTTATTCATTTATAATTAAATCAATTTCAAAAAACAAATCATTTCTTAATCCATTTTCATCTAATTAAACTATTTATCTCAAAAACTTTTTAAATTAATCCTTTGACAATTAAATATTATTTTCTCTTTATTAAACTTTTAATTTCTAAGCAGTTTTTTTGATATTTTCAATTTTCAATTTTTAAATTAAATCACCCAAAAGCTACTAACATTCTTTATTATAATTATCAATTGTATCTTAAATTTCTAGAATTTTCATCTTTTGCAATTCATTTAAATATATATATATAGCATTAATTGAAAATATCTTTGATGATCTATTAAAACTATTCTAATTTAATTTCATTTGAATTAGCTATTAAAAAGACTACCAAATATTAGATAAGATTTCTTATCTTTCTTCTGATTTATTTTTCTTTAAAAATCATTTATCTAAACTAAATAATCTATTAAAGGCTAATATGATGAAAATTAAGCTATTTTAAAGCTTATAACTTATAAATTATGAGACATAATTTGAACACTTTTAATTTTTTAAGAGGAACAAAGTTATAGTAACTTATTTAATCCATTATTGAATTACAATTAAGTATTCTTAGATTTCAAGAAATTGATAATTTATTAGATATAAATATTTACTTCATAAACTAATATTATTATTATTCAATAAATACATAAAAAATAGCTTTCTACTAATTTTAAAGTTGCATCTAATTACTATGCGTAATCACAACATATATTATCGATAATTTAAGGAAAGATTGAAGATGCATTCTTTTCAAATATTTCTTCTGTTTAATTAAATGACTATCTTAATTAAGAAATCATTTTACTGTATTAGAGAATCTAGTGTTTTAAAAAGGATATAATTGATTATTCATCCATTGAATTGATTCCAGCTAAAAGATGTATTAGTTGATTGCTAAATTTATATCTTAATACAAAAATGATTTGATCATTTACTTTATTTTGAAATAGTTTATTAATATCTTTTAATTTATCAATAGTTATCATTTCACTATGTTTTTTAAATAAGCAATTATTTTACTTAATGCTGCTGATCTAATAATATCAATATTTTCAGTTAGTGATCCTCTTAATTGTGATATTCCTTATCCTTATGGATCATCATAATTAATAAGTTTTTTTGTTAAATTTTCTTATTCATCTAAGATTTTAAAAATTTAATAAAATTCTTAATCAAATTCTATCTCTTGACTAATTAAATGCTTATGTTATTCTCTAGTCAAATTAGACTTCTAATATAATGTATCAAATTCAATTTTCTCTTTCTCTAATTATTAAATAATATATATGATATATTACTTATTTTTTATCTTGCATTGCTATAAATTTTTGAATGATAAATTTATTCTTTCTAGATTCTTTTTGTCTTGATTCCAACTCTTAAAAAAGCAGTTCGTAACCTTCTATTTATTAAAACATTATCATAATAGGATCATAAAGTTATTAAAGTGGTAATTAATACTTTTCAGTCATAAATTTTAAAGATAAATTAATAATAAAATTCAAAAGGTTTCATTTATTACAATGACAATAAGCTGTACTCATTCCTTTATTTAGAAGGTAAGTGCAATTAGGACAATGTAGTTTTCCAGATTTATTCATTATTTTTGATTTAGATTACATTGTGAAAGATGGATCATAACGTCTAAGAATAGAGAATTAATTTACTCAATTACTTTTTCAGTATTCATTTTTTTATTGATTGACTTTTTTAATTTTTCTCTTATTTTTTCAATTTATTATCTATTTTATATAATTTGAATAATTACAAAACTTCTACTTCCTTATTTAATTTATATAATCTTGAAACATCACATTATAAAGAAGTTTTTGATGGAAGTATTAAAGTATTAGGAAATTAATTTTCAGTTTATTGTAATTAACTATTTGATTTAAGCTTTGAAGGAACTACATCTATACTAACATCATTTCCATCCTTCTCTTTAAATTCAATTGCAGATATAGGTAAATTTTGAAGAGAACCTTACTTTTTAGAAGCATGACTTTTATGTTTTTATTTATGTACTTCTTCTATTTAATTTTTACTATCAGAATCATTTGAATTATCTTCTAAAAAATAAATTTATAATATAATTACCTTAATATTAATCTTTTGAATTTTATTCAGGTAATTCATCAATAATTTCAACTTCAGTTCTTGATTTTTTTTTAAAGTTAGTATTTTAAATTTAATTTTGATTTTAATTATCAGAAGCAGAATGATGAGATGATTTTTTTGAATTTGAAGTTAATTTTTTATTTTTTAATTAGTTTTATTACACTGGTAATTCATAAACTCTTTCATTATATTCTTATTCATCTTCTTCTGAATTTGATTAAGTATATTGTTTTAACTAATGTTTAAGTTTTATTTTCTATTTATTTTATTCTTTCTCTTCTTTATTAAGACTATCTTTCAATGATTCAAGTTCTTATTAAAGATTTGAAATTTCAAAATCGAATTCTTCTATCTTACGTCCCTCTTATATATATTATAATATGCATTACTTTTCCATTCAATAGCAGGTTCTTAATTTTTAGATCTCAGTGATTCAAGTCTATTATTATAATGATTGACTTTAATGTCTGATTATTAAAATTACTTAAAATCAACAGAGAATGAATCAACTGATGTCATTGATGCAGATTGATTATGTTAATAATTTCTTTAAAGAGTAGATTTCACACTAGTATTCAATTCTTATTCTAATTTCTTTATTCTTGATTCAAGTGTTGATTCATTTCCAATTTTGAACTTATTAGAATCGTTATCTAATGATTTAAGTATTTCTTATTACAAGTATCAGATAGATCAAATGTAGCATCATCTAATTCTTATTGTTGTTGTAACTCTTCCTTTCCATATACTTTCTTATTTATCTATAGTCTTTTCTTTTTTATCATATCAGTTAAACTTTCATCTGATGATGATGATTTTGAATTTGAATATCTGATTGTTGATTGTTTATTAGAAGATTCAATTTTGTAATCACTCATATCAACTGAATCATCCGAACTAAATCCTTCATGTTTCCTATTTAAATTCATTTTAATTAACGAAGAAAATTAATTATTAATAATAATTACTAATTCTATTTAAGACTATGAAATAACACTTATAAGATGATCAACTAAAACTATTTTCTTGATTCAATACCAAATTCAATAGATATAAAAACAAGATAACAAAATTTTATATTATTTCTCATTAAAATCACATGATTCTCATGTATATTAATGAAGTCTTACATAAATCTTAAATATCCTACTTTATTATAGATTAGATGAATGATATTATAATTCAAAGGAATTAGAAATTTAATGAAAACAAGAAAACATTAATTTTTTCATGAAATCTATTTAAGTACTTTATAATATCAAATTATCAAATACTATAAATATTTATAGATATATCATAATTAATCATTAAGATTACATATTATTTAATTAATGATTGTTGTAGTTTTACTTATTCAATTTTTAAATGGATTTTCAATTTAATAATATAATTAAACTAAATAATGAGTTATTTAAGAAATAAAATATAAATCTGGCTATTTCTTATAAGTACTTCAAATTTTTTAGTTAAAAAGCACTTTATAAAACATGAAATTTAAGAAATTTTAATATGATAAAAATGATCAAATAGTTGAATAGCTAAAGTATTGGTTATGGTGAACATTAAATTGAATGTTCTGATTAAGAAATAATACCTGATTACATTCCCTAAAATCTAATCAATTATTTAGAATCTCAAAGTAATAAGACATAATCATTATAACTATGCCAACCAATATCAAAAGATGATTTATAGTTAATTGAGCAAAATATATACAATATTATCCATGTTTAAGACTTTGTAACAAATTAGGAATGTTCTGAATTCTAAAATTAAGAAATATCCTAATTGAATAGAAAACAATAACTTATTTTAAAATATTCAAAAATATTTATCAAACTCAACAATTTCAATTATCCACTTTAGAATAGTCTAATATTATAATTATAATTTCCTAATTATTTAAGAATTTCACTCTAAATTTTTAAAAAAGTTACTCAAACAACACAATTATCTAATAATATTATTTAATTTATTATTAATTATGCTTAGAATAAATAATTAGAATAACCTTATGTTGAACTTTCATCAAAAATTATAAAATTATGTTAAGAATTTGATAATTTGGATTAATTTTAATTAGTAAATTAGGAAAATTTGTTGAGTAGATAACCCAGTGATGAACCAAATTTATAAAATACCATCTGGACAAGATAATAAATGATTTAATGTTTGATTCTTTATACTATTGTGAAATGTGAACTATTAATTTTTAATCAAAAAACTAAAATCTCATTTAATTATGAATAAAATATAGCAAATGTTTCTAAACATATTAATATGTGTACTTATGATTATTCTTGGAGTGAAAATTGTTTAGGTAATATTAGAGATTACCATCCTAAATTAGCAAAAAAACTTAATAAACGTTATTAAACTGTTAGAAATCTAGAAGAAACTGCTTATGATAAAGAAACAAGTACAGCCATATTCAATTATACCTAATCTTTATTAGGTTATTTTCATCATCATTATTCATATTCTTAAATGCAATTAAATTAAGATGTAAAAAACAAAATCAAATCAATACTAAATGGAAAGATTACAGATTGCGATTTAAGTTTAGTTATAATTGTAGCAAACGCTATCATGTTTGTTCAAATTTTATATGCTTTGAAATGATTTATGCTTTTGAATTTATTATAAGTTATTATATGTTTAATTAATTGATAAACTACAAATATATAGTATTATAAAAAATTGTTTCTAAATATTTTATATGTCAAGTAATATCAAATTTAAAGTTTAGATTATTAAAGAATAATTTTATTCAATTCTATCAGGTTGAATATTATAAAATGAATAATTATTTTAAGTTTAGTTAGCTACATACTATTCTTTTTAAGTATATTAATCTATTATTTAAGTACTTGTTTCATTTTATTAATGAAATTAAATTAAAATTAACAAATGTATATAAGGATTTATTATTTAATATAAAATTAAAAAATGAATGCTTTTAATAACAAAAATATAATATGAAGTTTGTCTAATTTTATGTTTAAGGGATGAAAAATCTATAGACTTATAATAATAATATAATTAATTTATATCAAAACAATAGTATTATGTATTCTATTATTTTTGTAAAGATTTAAGTCTTTTACATAATTTTAGTCATAGAATATCCTGCCTAAAAAGTACACTTTTTACTTTATTATGGATTTAAATTTAGTTGATTAAGCATTATTTGAAAAGAAATATCAAAAATTATAACAGAATGCAATTTAAATTTAAATTTACTAAGAAGAAAAAGATCTTCTTTGATGGAACAATAAAATTAAATGAAAGATGCCTTAAATATATAATAAGTTTATATAATAGATGAAGAGGATATAGTTCCTTGGATGACTGAATTAAATGTAAAAAATTATAAACAAGAATTATATTAATCAATAAATAAATTATACAATAATAATATTAAAAAAATGAAGTCATTATGATGATATTTTAAATTAAAATAATCTATTAAACTCAAACTTATAAAATTATTTTATATAAAAAAACCATTCTGATAGACGAAATATAATTCAACAATATTTTCGACAATCTTCATTTAAAAATTATTTAAATTTAGTTTTGTTCAAACAAGAAAACTTAAGAAACAGATTAATGATCAGAACATTAACAATACAACTAATATATTGATTATTTTATGTAACTGAATATTTTATAAAAATGAACATCTTCCTCCGAGGATCTAGCCTCGAACGGGTCTTTTGAGGGATGCCCATGTTGCGAGAGTTTAAATTTTACCCTCCTTGCTTTATTAGGAAATTTCCGACCATCATTGTCAACACTCGTTCCTGGTTATTGTAGAACACTAACGATAGGTCCGGGAATCGAAAGGGACAGCCCCTTGGTTGACACCATTTATGATGTCATAAAATAAATTTCTTAGTAGTTTTTGTAAAGAGTCATATTAGTGATGCTTTTGGAAGGTTAATGTTTAACTAATTTAAATTATGGCACGATTACTTTAAATTGAGTTTATAGAAAAAAAAGATTTTCTATATAATAATAATTTAAATTATATTGTTTGGGTTATTAAAATAAATTGAATATAATTAATGAAAAATATAATTGCAGCCACATTGACGACTCTACTAATTGGTTTGGGTTTCTACCAAGTAAATTTAGATTCTGCTTCTGATTTTGAAAGATGGGCTTTGAAACACGGAAAAAGTTATTACGGAGATGAGAAAATATACAGATAAACCATTTATTATCAAAATAAATAAATGATTGATCAACATAACAAAAGAAGTGACGTTACTTATTTAATGGGGGAAAATCAATTTATGACTATCACAAATGAAGAATTTATTAGACTTTATTTGAGTACTCAATCATCTGAATAATTAAATGATTAAGATAAAGTTAAAAGAAGCAATATTCATAAATCTTCTGAAAAAATTTAAAAAGAAAATAAACGAGATTCAGTTGATTGGAGAGGTTTGGTAAAAGTTAAAAATTAAGGATCTTGTCCTTCTTCTTATGCAATGTCAGCAACTAGTGTAACAGAAGGAGAATATGCAATAGTCTAAGGATTATCTATAACATTATCAGCACAATAAATTATGGATTGTAATTACAGATATGATGGATGTAATCCTAATTTTCGTAGAAATGATGTTTGGGGATCATTGTTTTATGTGTGGGCTTATGGATTATATACTGAATAATAGTATCCATACACTGGTTTAGTATAGTATTGTTAAATAAGTTCTAAAGGACCTTGGAAGATCACATCACGCTGGGGGGATTCTGAAATGAATATTTTATCCTTCAAAAATGATCTTTCTGAACATCCTTTATCAATTGAAGTTGAGGCCAGTAAATGGTAATTCTATGATTCTGGTATATTTTCTGATTGTAGTTCTGCTACTAGCAAAGCAAATTATTTTGCATTAGCTGTTGGTTATGATTCATCAGATAATTGGTTTGTTTAAGCATCTTTTGGAACTACTTGGGGGGAATCTGGATATATAAGATTAGCACCTGGAAATACTTGTGGTATTTTAAATGAGATTTATTATGTGGGTTTGAAGGATTGATTTATCATAAAACCATTAAGCATAAAATAAAAATTTCACCCAATCTCCAAATATTAATCAATTCAATAAGAAAGGTCTTTCTAAATAAAATCAAATTCACAAAAAAGACAACTTGAATTTTGTTTTAAATGCCTTCCTAAATTATTTATCATCTGATTAAGTTTTCTCTATATATTATCATAATAAACAACTATATTTAATAAATATTTTGAGAATTAACCTTTTTATTAAATTAAAGTTTAATTTTGCATAAAATTAATAATAATGAGTTTATCAATACTTATTTTAGAATTATAACAATATACTTTTGAGTCTTTCAATATTGTAGCTTTATTTAAACTTATATGAATCAAGAATTCTGGATTTTAAATGGATTAGTACTGATTGAAAATACAAAACTATTGTCTCTTAAAAGATTGATCTTCAGAGGGGAATATCAGACCCTCAAAAAAGTTGATTAGTTATCAAATTAAGGAATAAACAAAACTCATCATTATGTATTGATATAAAAGTTAGTTGATTGATTTAAGAAGAAATAATTATAAAAAATAAGATAAGAAATGTATTTAATAAATGTATACTATAACAATAATCATTCTTCTTTTGGTTACTTTCTTTTTGAGCTCTTTCTCTTTCTTCTTCCTTCTCTTCCTTATCCAAATGGAGATGTAACTGCAAAATCAACTAATTTTTCACTTTCCACTCTAACAAGAAATGATGGTGAATTTACTAATCTCTTTCCAACTCTATTTTATGATAAAAATGTCAAATTTACCTAAAATGTCTTTATCTAATTAAAGTTCTGCCATGATGAATTGATTTTGCTTGATTGCTTTTGAAAACAAATGTTTAAAGTCTTCTTTCCATCATTTTTTATGTAGTCAAACCCAAAACATAATCTAACTTTCTTTCTTATTCACTTAATAAACCAAAGCGAACCATTCTTCTAATCAAGGCTTCTCCTTCAAATAATCTTCTTGGGTCTTTTGGATCAAGTGTTAATAATTCTCTAGCAGCCTTTCTAATTCTAGCTAATGTAAGTTAAACTCTCCAAACTTCTCTTTTATTCTTCAATCCATATTTACCAATAATGAGCAATCTAATTTATAATTAATATTACTCATTATCAAGGCGTTCTTTTTCAAATGGTTTTCTTGGTGTATCTGATGTTTTTGATCTGTTTCTATAATTTTTTCCCATAAAAAGATTTAAATATAATTTTTAATTTTGTATAAATCATACCAATATACTATTGTATAGTATCTCTTCCTCCTTCATAAAGTCTCCATCTATATTTATGATTGCAACAATCAATTTAAATTAAAGTTCGAATTTTCATATTTATACTCAATATTTTCTCATACTACTAATACTAAAGAAGTCTTCATCTTTTTCACATAAGTTCTGAAGTAGTTAATATAGATTATACTTAAATTATATTTATAGCAAAAATACTTCACACTTGTTTCTAATTTTTATCTTTCAAAATATTACATATTGTATAGACTATCACCCCATCATATTTTAAATATCTTATAGTTTAATCAAATATATCTTATTAGATTCCATATTAAATCTACTTCAATTTATATTTTTTATACCTATTATTCTCAATATAATTTTTACTTTATAAAATTCTTCATTTCCTTAGTATCTAGTTGGTTTAATTGGATTTAAACTTATTTTAAATGTATTAGTGCAACATAGAATTAATAAATCTTTGCTCAAACTATTAATCATAAACTAATTAAAAAAAGTGTGAAATTGAATGTATTCATTCATCCCAATTGAGCAAAATCGAATAATTTATCAAAATTTTGATCCTTTTCGTAATTAGATATATTTGATATTAATAACATTTTCTATCCATATCTTTTGTAAAATTAAAGAGTAAAAATTGTATTTTATTAGATCAAATGTTTTTTAGGAAATTATTGTATACTTAGAGGTTTAAAATGTTTTGGTATTTTTTAAGTATTCTATTGGAAATGAATCAAATGGCTCTCTTGAAACATCATCATTTATCATAATAGCCTTTATGTGAGTTTTAATAAATAGTCTTAAATTGATAATAAATAATAAATTATAACGAATATGAACTTAATAAAAATGCATAAGCCAATTACTCCAACTAAATCATAATCTCCATATAATTCAGGTAAAAAGAATCCAGATTACATTAATCCTACATTTGTTAGTCAAGCTGTGTTTCAAGACAACTAATCATAAAATAAGGCTTTGTAACATGGACATACAAAATAAAATAATTGTTATTACACATATTATAATTAATCTTAAAAAATATAAATTGAAAAGACTTAAGGAACAATTGAAAAATAGCGATATGGAAATATTTTGAAGTTTGAAGAAAAGCGATTTGAAACAAATGAGAAAAACTATTTTATTGATAGGAAAAAGTAATTATCTTAACATGAACTCACTCCTGATTACTCACTCAATCGTATAAAACGGAATAGTTAAATTGAACTCAATATGTCTTGGAACAATGGAGTTTAGGATCATTAAATCAAATAAGATATCAAAAAGGATGAAAAAAGAAAACTTTACACTGAAATAGAGTAAACAGAGTAATTTTATTCATCAGTTAAAGAGATTAATCAATCTGTTAAAGATTTTAAAGCATAAAGCTATTTAAGAGGATTACAATTATAGAATAGACACAATTAATATTTAAAGGAAGTAGAAAAAACTAAAAAGTTAGAAGAAGAAATCATAAGATCCCAGGAACTCAAAATATAAGAATTAAGGAGATAGTAAGAATAACTAAGTATAGCTAAATCAAAATTTACTAAATGATTATCATTTATAAAATATTGCATTGCGATATTCTACTGCCAATATTAAATTAAAACTCTATATAATAACTCCTATAATTGCATCAACTAGAGATCCAAATGAATTATATAAATTGTTTGATAATGATCGATTTCCATCTTTTCCTTCTTTAAATTCTTTATAAATAAGATGTTTTAATTTTATTACTATTAAATTAAAGTAATAATAATAATCAATTAGAATTTTATATAATTCAACTTTTGGAAATATCTAAATTTTCAATATATAAAAACTTAAACATTAATTTAACTTTAATAATAATATAAATAATTGATAGAGTATTTATAATTATTGATTTATAAATAATAAACTATCAAAGTTTATCTTGTTAATTTCTAAACATAATATAAGAATAAGTTAAAATAGATTTATAATTTAAAAACTATTTTTAAGAGTTATTATTAATGTCTATGTTATTTAAAAAAATAGAATTATATTGATTTTTCTTAATACAATTTTTTTATGGATATAAATTGTTTTACATCTTAATTTTATTGCTTTATGGGAGATTGAATTCTCTTATTTAGAAATTTATGTCTCATAATAGAATTACTTTTTTCAGTGAATAAATTTAATTCCATCAATTATTAGAATTTATAAATAATTATGAATTTCTTTTGGTGCTGTGAGGTTGATAATTAAACTATATCAGATCGCACTTCTTAATTATACTTTTCAAATAACGCTTATAGTCCATACAAAATTCTTGAAGATATGTAGGACCCTAAACTGGAAAATTTATAATTAACACTTTATGGTGAAGAAAATTATTCTCTAGTCAGAAATACATAACTAAATGTTATTTCTTAAGACAACTCTTCTCCAAACAGTTTACCTATTGAAGTGTTATAAATGATTGTCTAGAAATCAAAAAATATTGGAGAAAGACTACAAGTATTTATACCTTAATCAAATGATGTATAACTACTTAAGTATTTCATTTAATAACCAAAATTTAAAATTTATACTCTGGAAGATAACCAAGAATATTTAAACATACTTAAATAATAGAAAATATTTAAATAATTGTAATATATATCACAAGATTTTGACAATAGCTTTGATTTAATAATATTTAATTGTTCTTCATCATAAGAACGAATTTCTTCATTTTTCTAAAATTATTAGATGAATTCCTTCAAAAATAAAGTATTTATTTTAGATTATTGCAAAAATATTAAGAATATTATCAGTTAAATAATGAAAGATTAAGAAACCTAAAAAGAAGAATTAATGACAATAAGTATAAATGGTTATTTTAGATATTATATATTTTTTATTGGAAAAATTAGTTCAACCTAGAATTTTTCAAGACTAAAATCCATAGAAGCAATTTTACTATAAGATTATGAATCCCAAACCAATTATTAAACTCTAATAAAATAAATGTTAAAATATCTTAAGTAATAAAATATACCATATTCAGAAATTTTAAAGATCATTGGAAAAATATAATCAGAAAATCATGATGAATTGAAAAAATAATAATCGGACACTATGCTTTAGAGATTTTTAAGCAAAATTATAGCTAACAAGAATATTGATAAATCTTAAATTTTTGAAATTTTTTAATCTGTATTTCGTGCTGGCTAGTTCACAATAACTCCATCTCAAGAATAATTTTCTAATAATCAAATAAATTCGTATAAATGTGCTATATTGTAAAATAATAGCAGGATGAATGATGATAAATGATTAATTATTTAAAATTAGTCCTATTATAATAATGATATTATAAACAACAATTAAAAGATTACAGAGGAGGAAATTTCAAACCAAATTTTAATAAAATACAACATTTTATTTATCATTATTAAATTTACTTAAATATATTACTAATAGTTATATAAGTAATTCTAATCTCTATTTTAGTTCTTCAAATCAATAAATCTAAATAAAATTTCATATTGGATCATCATTTAACTCTTTCCAATCTAATTTATTAACTTAAAATAATGATGCTATTTAATTAATATTTAATCTGAAGTTTAAACTTAAAACAATAATAATTTTAAGTCTATTTTTTTTAACAGAATTGATAAAAATATATTTATTTATTTATTTATAAATCATTCAATTTAAAATTGTGTTAAAGTTAAAAATATAATCATCATTATTTCTTTAAAATATCATTAATTTTTTGAGAGGAAAAGATAAAAGCACTAAAAAGAGATTTGGAATTATTTGCTCTTAATTTATATAAATTTTACTTTTGTTGAAGTAGTTTATCATCCATAAGATAATGAATTGATACAAAAATATTAAAGTGATTTTATGACCAAAAAATTAAAAATAGATTTAGGATTATAAAAGAAGTAGATGATAAATAAATTTAAATATAAGAATTAATAATTATCTAAATTCTCATTTAGTAACTTAAACCAATATATATAGTAAATGTCATTTGATTAATTAGTCTAAATAACTTGGGCAATAGATAAGGAATTATAAATTTAAATAATATGAAAAAACGATTTTCTCTTAGAACATATTAATATTCATATTAAATTTATAACGATTTTATGTACTTTCACTAAAATGCTCCTGTTCATTAATATTCAACAATTAAAACAATTCCAACAATCCCATTAGGATAACATGCTCCAATTTATCCTGCAAATATAGCTTAAATTTATTAAACATAGTCATAAATATAACCATCATAATCATATTCCAATGTTAAATATATGCAAAATACTTAACCATTAAAGTAATCAACCCTTAGCACTTTCTAACCTTATAGGCCAGATCCAGAAGTAGAAAAGATTATTTCAAAATATAATACAACATCAAAAAATTCTTAAATTGAATAACCAGTGACCCATTGGCCATCAAATAGTATTCACTAGAATTCACAAGACTAATTTATAAACAAATAATAAAATAATAATGAGGAATTTGAATTTAAAGATAATAATACACCACTACATTTTTAATTTGATGAAATAAAACAGAGAAAACCAAATTTAGGTTAGAAGAATTATACTCCAGATATCAATGAATTTTAAGATTTTAGTAGTTAAAATTAAAAATAAGTAGCTCTACCTGAATAAAATGATAAAATTGTTAAATTAATGGTTTCTGGTATTATTGTCTTATTAGTTGTATATATCATATCAATGCTAGTACTATAATGATATAATAAAGTTGAATATTAGGTTGTTATTGAAAACTATAAATAAAATAAATTAATACAAACTCAAACTTTTATAAAAAGTTAACAGTTCTGTTTTGCCAATAATATTTTACTTTATAAAAGAAAAAAAATGTTATATTTAACAAAGAAAGAACCATATATAACATAAAATAATAAAATATCTAAATATGTTTATTCTGGTTTTTGTATTTAGCAATTTAGTTATAATTAAAAATAGATAAATTATATTTATATTAAAGAATTTTAGTATTTAATTCCTTAAATTTAAGAATTAAGTTTTAATTTATTTTTAAATTAGGTATCATGATAATAATCTTAATTCATTAATATTGTTAAATTATTAAATTATTAAATTAAGGTCATTCATTTATATTTTTATTTCTCAGATACAAATAATTTTGAAAAATTATTTAACTTATTCAATGAACTATTAGTAGTAGTTTTAGGAGATGGTAGATTTCCAAATTGTTCTGTTTTGATTCTTTCTGTAATAGTTTTATGGTTTTAATCTGGCATAGTTGTTGTTCTATCTGAACAGATTAAAGCTTTGGATTAATCAACAAATAATTTAAATTACTAAAATATTAATATTAGTTTACTTTTAAATCTTATAAAGAGTTTTGGGCTTATTACATTGTTTTTGAATAGGAATGTCCTAATTTAGTAGATTAATGTAGTAACTGAGATGATTTTGTCAACAAATCATGTTTCTTAAAATAATCATAAACTTCACTTTTTCCAGTTTATCTATTAATTCTTTTACCATCTTAAGGAGATGCAAGTACTGACTATTATGAATAATATTCTCCCTTTTATTATTATAAAACTTTCAATGTTTTATCAGGAGATTAAGATTCAATAGGAATTGCTTAATTTTTTAATTGATTAAGATTAACTTCATTTGTTCTTTTAGTTTTTTCAAGTCCAACTTAGGATTCTCTTGAATAATAAAAGTTTTTTAATACATAATTTGCTGTATCAATATTCTAAATATTTATAAATAAATATTACATGATATTCTTTTTACATATTTGTCTAATATTATTTTCTAAAATCAGCATCTCCTTTATTAAATTCTTCTTCATCAAAATTATATTTAAGAGGTTCTGGTTTGTAAGGAGTTTTTAACTTTTTATTGGCAATTGCCTCAAAGTCAACATCTTGAAACCATTCATGTGTAAGAATTTCAACAATACCACCATTATAACCTAATCTTTCTGTTGGATCTTTTTAAAGTAATCTCAATATAAGTTCTTTTAAAACTGGTGATATTTGAACATATTATGGAAATTCAACAGTTTCAGTCAAAATTGAATTATATATTTCTTATGTATTATGAGAATAAAATGGAGGTAATCCTGTAACTAATTCATAAAGTAAAGCACCTAAACAATAGCAATCAACTAAATAATTATGACCTGTTTTCATTAACATTTCTGGAGCCATATATTCTGGTGATCCACAAAAAGAATAAGCAAAATCATCTGGTGACATATCAGGTTTTGATAAACCAAAATCACTTAATAATAAATGACCATGTAAATCTAATAGAATATTTTCTGGTTTAATATCTCTATATACAATATTTTAGGAATGTAGATAAGCCATACCAATACAAATTTCTACAAAATAGAATTTTGCATCTTATTCATTCAATCTTTTCAATTTACGTAAATGATAAAATAGTTCACCTCCAGCACAATAATCAAGAACAAATGCAATATAATATTTAGTTTCAAATGCATAATGTAATGGAGTAATAAATTAATTCTCCATCTAAACCATTATGTCTCTTTCATTTTATACTATAATCTCTTTTTAATTGTCTAAAATGAATTTCTTATCAATAAGTTTCAAAGCATAAAATTTCCCATTATCTCTCTTTCTAACCATATAAACTCTTGAAAACCCACCTACACCTATACATTTAACTAAAGTAAAATCCTTTAATCCAACTCTTTTTGTTGTAATAGGTTATGTATATAATGGTTGAAGTTATAATGTAATTCCTTTAAAAACATCTAAAGTTAAATCTGGAATTGTTAAGTAGTAATCATAGGGGATATTTTTGGATACAGTTTAAAATTAACATATTTTATTTAATTCTAAAAATTTTTTAGTTTTTAAATACCTTATTATATTTAATCTACTTCAGTTGAGCCTGTTCCACTTCCAAGTTTTGTAAATGATCTTTCTATACATGCTATTTATTGTATTAAATAATTGTACATATCATCAGTAGTTTAATTTTAATATTCGTATAAATAATTGTATCTATATTATAATTATATATCTTACTTTTATTATTTATAATAAAGAATTATTTATAATTATTTGTTAATATTATATTATACAGTATCTTCTTTGCACTTTTATTTTATGAATTATTAATTTGAACTTGATGAATATTCAGTTTTTATATGACTTTAATTGGTTGATTTAGATTCACTTTCATTTTTTTTAGGTTTCTATGATTAATATTATATGGATCCTTATATAGATCCTTTTAATAGTTTTTAACTAGAAAACATATCCTCAATAGACTATCTATGATTTGATGAAGTATTGGATTAAATAGATTATTTATTCTATTTTAAATTTAAATAATTCTGACACTCATTAGAGCATATAGTATTTTTTAGCTAGATATATTATATATAATACTAAATGCATATCAAATAATAATTGATCTTTTTATTTCTAAATAGGTTATTTGATTTAATTTTATGGAGATTAATTGTAAGATTACTTTGTAGTTTGAGGTTATTTTGATAATTAATTTTTCAACATTTTATCAATATTTTAAGCATCTAATGAAATAGTCGCCAATGATAAGTTTTTTTATTTTAAAATTTATCTTTTAGCACTATTACCATCATCAGTTTAGATACGTACATCAACCTATATAGAGTAATATGTAATATATACATTAAATTAGCCAGTTTTTAAGCGTTCACTCTTCTAACTTAATTGTTATAAATTATCAATGCTTTTACTTCCTTATAATATTCCCTTTGATGAGTTAGCAACTTAAGTTAAAGTGTTCCTTTCTTTCTTAAAATACTCAAGCAAATCATTCTTCTGAGTCTTGGATTAAGGTCTTTCTGTATTGACAGTCTTAGGTTTACTTTTATTTTTTTTTAGGTCATTATTGAATGGTTTATCTTGTAAGCTATTTTTGTTCATTAATGTTAACATCTATTAACTAATTTTCTTCATTAACGATGTGAATAATTTATTTAATTCAAATTATAAATATATATATACTCTGAAATTACATAAATAAAATAAATGAATATCTCTCATTATTATGTTTGTTAAGCAGGTTGCTATGGTTCTTCATCTTTCTCTATAAGGTACTTTTTCATAAATTTCTTTAAACCACCATCAGCTTCAATCTATTGAAATGCTTATTAAAATTCAGGAGTAGTAAAATCATATTTTTTCACAATCTTATTTACTTTTTCATCATAAATATGTCTATTCTATTTTTAGAATGGTTATGAAAGCAAAACTGGAACAAAATAATATTTTTTTAATACTCCGAAAAAAGATGATCTTATTTTTATTAATATCTATATAAATACCTAGATGTCAATGCATAAATTGGATTTCTCATTTTCAATATTAAACAAAAAGTAAATGTAGAAAGCACTGAGAAATACAAAGTAGTTGAAACTCTTGATCTATGTTCTTGTAATGCCAATTTAAATTCAGCTGTATCACTTTACTTATTTAAACTTATAATTTACTTCAATTAATGGATATGGTGTTTTAACTTTAGAAAATATAGTAAAAGCTAACAATTTATTTTAGCATAATTCATCATAAGATAATTGCATATTCTTCATAAAAATTATATAATTCTAATATTGAAATATATTATTGGAAATATATTCCAATATATTATTTGAAAAAATTATAATCTAAAATAATCTTAATCACAATCATTTATAGTTATAATTATAATACATATAATCATGTTTCAAATTACTCTATGAATATGTCAATAATTTAAATTAGTTTTATTTTTAAACTTAATTAAAAAGACATAAAAGTAATTTTTTATTTTGCTTTTTCACTTTTTATCTTTTTTATCATTAAAACAATTATTATTAATAATAGATTTATTAATTTTAATTATAGTATGTGATATTACATCATATATATACTTATTTAGAAACAAGTTAAGTCAACTTAACCTGTTTTTATTTATAAATACTTTTTTAATCAATCATTAGTCTTCAAAATATTCTTATAAATATAATTATATTCTTCTATTTATCATATATTTTATATGATTTAATAACTAAAAATAAGAGAAATAATTGAAATATAATACTTCTTTTTACATAATAAGGCTAATAATAATAGAATCTATGTTAAATAAATATATAAAAAGGGAGAAGCTGAAAACTGGATACAGAATCCATTAAAAATTCGATAAAAGAAATGCAAAGTTATTATTATAACTAAATATTATATAATTTTTATGGATAAAATGCATAGAGTTTTATAATTTAAGCATTTTTAAAATATGATATATTGAGCTGTCTAACTTATTTTGTAATGAATCATAAAAATTAATATATAAAATGAATTATAATTTATAAACCATTATGGTAAAAAAAATATAATTTTATAGCATTGAAAAAATCAGTATAATTTAATTTTAAATTCTAATTAAGTGATTCTTTTTTCTTTAAATAACAAATATGCCAGTTTGGAAATAAGATGATCATTTTTTTTAGTTTGATTAGTAAACTAAAAATAATGCGTTTTATAAATATTTGATATAAGTATAAATATTTTTTATTATTTATTCTTTACGATTCTAGTATATAGAAGGTACTTAATTCTGAAACAAATCTGTTAAAATTAGAGAGAGTAATTAAAAGGTCTTCATCTAAATATAGTACTATTTTTATTATACAATCCAATTAAACTAATTAATTTCAATTATATATATATTTATATAAT